GTTCTAGCATTTAAGATTTCAAAATTAAACTTTTAATTAAATTTTAAATTCCGAAACCAAAGGGGAATTTTTAGAACTTTTCAAAAATACTAGATCAAATTTTAAATTATAAAATTAATTAAATAATTTTGTCTTTATCTTAAAATTTGACCAAATCTCTTATTTTAATAAGGATATAGATTTAATTTTTCAAAAAAATTCAATTTTAGACATTTAAAACGAATTTGGTAATTATCCTAATCAAACAAAGATATCAAAATCAAAAAATCAAGGATCTGACAGCACGATTCGTCGAGTTATTGCAATGCACTCGTTGAGTAGGTGTAGGTGCAACTCGTCGAGTTCCATTATGAACTCGTCGAGTTTGATGAACAGATTGACGAATTTGTTCCCTCCTCCTTTGGAAAATTCACATATGCATTAAATTCAACTGAAAAACAACTTGGCTTTAATACCACTAATGGGTTTTGAACATAACTACATCCCATGTGATCATGCAACCCTAATTTGAACATACAATTTAATACAAAAGCAATAAACTCTAGATCTAACATATAATTTTGAAAATCATATAACAAAAAGATTTTTGATGATTACGTTGGTTGTTATGTAGTAATAACAAGAATTCCTTGTAGATCCTTGACTCGTGAAAGCTTAGTGCCCCAAATATTGCACCTCTAATAACTCACAAACACTACTAGCAAGAGGATGAAAGGAGAAAGGAGTGAAGCACTTAGAATTTAGGCTACGGTTTCTTCTTAGAAAACATTGGCTGAAAATCCCAAGTCTATGGGGTCTTTATATACCTGAGGGCTACTAGGGTTTCTGGAGGGAACCCTAATTTCCTGCTTAAGGCTTAAGCAACCCATGAACCTCAATTAGGGAGCCTTAGAAGAAATCTATAGAACCTCCCTATAGAATTTCGTCCACTCCTAATTAAGGAGTCCATCAGCCCAGTTTCACAACTATCAATGATTTGCAAAACAACCCCTTTTTTGTAATTAGTTCCTTTAAACCTAAAATTAATTCCAAATTAATTTAAGATTAAATACTAATTAAATAACATGATTTCCAATTAATATATTATTTTCATAGTACATTAAGAAATCAATTTAATATTCCAAATAATAAATTCAACCTCTCTCTCCAAAAGTCATCCTGTTATGTTTCTAAGGCGAAGGTAACCCAAAAGGACCATGATACTATCAAATCAAGTAAATACCAATTATAGTTATGGTCTTAGACACCTAATCTAACAAAGCATAGTCAGATTCACAACACTTTTCATATCTCTCAATTTTGGAAGTGTTTGGTTGATGATTATGCAGTGGTTCCATTGGAGGACATCCAGGTGGATGATCTCCTGAATTATCTAGAGAGAGAACGGTGGTGATCCTTGATAGGAGGATGAAGACTCTGTGAAACAAGGTTGTGGATCTCATGAAGATATAGTGGCAGCACTGAAAGGGTTCAGAATGGATGTGGGAGCCAAAGGACAAGATAAGAGAGCATTACCCCAAATTATGTGAGGTGGCGGACTTCGAGGACGAAGTCTAATTCAATTGGAGGAGAGTGGCAACGCCCGGATCTTAAGGTACTTTATTTGTAATTGAAATTATCATTTTTACAGTTTCCACGACATGGTGGAGGCACCACCACAATATGGCGAGGTGAGAAGGATTTGCGTGTTTTTTTAAGCCACCACGACATGGCAGTATTGGCCACGATGTGGTGAACGGCTGATATGAAAACCTTATTTTTCCGGGTTTGCTCCCTATTTAAAGGAATGAGGAGCCTAGGGTTTGTTCGTCCTCAGCCTCCATCAGCCCCCCTCAATCCTTAAAGAAAACCCTAATCACTTTCCTCCATTATTGAGCTAGTTTTTGTGTTCCTTGAATCTAAAGAAGGAAGAAGGAGGAAGAATGAAGCAAAGATCAAGCAAGAAAGTCTCTATTCTTCGCCTTGGAACTCTTCTAGACCTTTGTAATTGTCCAAGACTCGATTTTTATCATGCTAGGTTGTTAGTGTTGGATTAGGTGTCTAATCCCATAACTATAATTGTTATATACTTGACCCGAGAGTAGCATGGTCCATTTGGGTTGCATATCACCAGGACAATTTGATAAGATGGACTTTTGAGAAGAGGTGATTTATGATTTGTTAATATATTATAATTTCTAATCTATTAATATGAAATCATATTATTTAATTAGTATTAATAAAAAATTAATTTGGAATTAATTTCGTGATCAAAAGTGACTAATTAAGTATAAGGGATTGATTTGGTAAAACATCCATTCTTATGGTGTGGGCCAATGATCCATGATTCCTTAGGTTGGGCTAACCCTATGTGACACCCATGGATGATCCATGGAGGTTTAAATCCATGGAGCCTAAGGAATATGGAAGGCCATACACATTAGAGTTCACATGGTGTAACACTATATAAGAAGCCTTATAGCATCCAAAATGACACACTAGTGTTCTTGGAGATCATTGAGCCTAATTCCGTGTTAGGATATTCTCTCAAAAGTCATCCTTTGTCTTTGGTGTGTTGTGATTCCATTTGAGGCATTCATACTATTGGTGCTGAGTTCTTAAAGGCCAAACACAACAAGCTCTACAAGCTACATAAAGAAGTAAACTCCTAACTAGTATTTTATGTTGTTTATGACATTTGTATGCTAGTTGTAGGCTTAATGATTTGGAAACAATGTTGCATGTATAATTAGAGAAAACATAGATCGAAAGAATTTAGAGTCGTATGTGCACCATAGGATGTTGTAGTATACTAAAACCTAACACTGGTATCAGAGCCATGGATTGTTTTCTTTTATATTTGATGCAATGTGTTAATTTTCAAAGCTAAAAATTGTTGTCTGATAGCCCTACTCGACGAGTCAATTCTTGTACTCGACGAGTCCATTCTTGTACTCGACGAGTAGGTTGAAGTTTGCCTTAGACTCATCGAGTCCAGTATGGGGTCGACGAGTTGCCTGTCCAGACATCAGTTTTTCGAGTTTTTGGTCTGTTTTGGATTAGAATCATTACTACAAAATGTTTTAGTTCATAAAATCTGATTTTGTTGATATGATAATGATGATCTCATCTAAATAAAAGATAATTGTCAAAATTTCATGATTTTTATTAGTTTATATTATTAGGCTAATTTTTTGAAATTTGTTTGATATGAATTACCTTAACTTATGAGTTTAATTAGATCATAGGCAAATTGTTTGACTTTGTTAGTTGGAATTTATGATCTAATTGTCTGTAACATCCCAAAAACACAGTATGAAAATTTCGTTTAATTTAATGATAAAACCATAGTCAATAAACCTCATATAGAAATCATAAGCAATGTATCTCAAAATATTATAACAACTGTCAAATATATCAGAGTATAAACATCCCAGGCTGAACAAATGGTGTGTGCACTGCAATCTTCCCGAGCTCCTCTTTTGAAAACTGAGTACCTGAAACCAAAACTGAAACTGTAAGCACGAAGCTTAGTGAGCTCCCCCAAACTACCACATACCATACAATAACATATAAACACATGTTGGGCCTTGCCCACTACATTGGGACGAAGCCCGAAAACTGCATCGGACCGAAGTCCGGAACTGACTGGGAACTTGTCCCCTGCATCGGACCGAAGTCCGGAACTACCTGCATCGGACCGAAGTTCGGAACTGACTGGGACCTTGTCCCCTGCATCGAACCGAAGTCCGGGACTAACTGCATCGGACCAAAGTCCGGAACTAACTGCATCAGACCGAAGTCCAGAACTGACTGGGCATAGCATAGCATAGCATAACAAAAACACATATCAAATAGCATAACACACATGATCATAAACTCATATACTGCATACTACGTCAGGCCGTAGCCCATAACACTTAACACATAAATCCTGTCTGAGCCACGAAGGCATCAAACAAACTAACAACTGCATCGGACCAAAATCCGGAAACTATTGCTACTAAACGGGTCGGCATTGTGGCCTTAGACCCGTTCCTACTGGAAGGAAACTCACCTCACACTGCTGAAGTCCCGCAGACACAATCCCACACTGCTGAAGTCCCGCAGACTCCACCCCAGCTGCTGGCTGACAGATTCCCGAACTGTCAACACCAAATAACACCCAATTAATAATTGGGTTCTAACACATAACTAAAAATACATGCTTTGGATAATTACTACATTACCCCTAGCTTGGCTTACCCAAGCCCAAGGCCCAATCCATAGGCCCAAAGTAAACTAGGGATCAAAGTCCATCATATGGCCCAATTGATCAGTCCAGTCCAACATGTATCATTCTAGGGCCCAATATCATACAACCATCTAGGCCCCAACTATGGCCCAATTTTCCCAATTGGGCCCAAGTCTCTACATGGTCTTGCGTTAGCCTAACCACTTATTCTTGGTCCAATATCTCATAATCATAAAGGCTCATATATAGCCTAACTCAAGGTCCAAACAATAATTAGGGTTTCTTATAGGAAATGCTGATTAGGGTTAAGTATTCCTACTTAACCCATTAAAGACTTAATTCATTAAGTCCATCACTCCACTCGGTCAAACATACGGTGTGGTTGGATCTAATTCATAATTCAACTCCAATGATCCAAAAATGCGAGTCCTGGCAATTCTAAAACTAGCACATCCATATAATAATAAATAAAGTTATTGATAATCCAAATTATAGATCTCAATATATATATATATATATATATATATATATATATATATATATATATATATATATATATATTTCGTGAATAATATTCATTTCATTAATCACCAGGGGATAGCATCGACTCATGAATTTAAAAGACTCTGATAATTTGATAATACCTCATTTACTAATTATGCCCCTTCATAGAATAATCCTTTTAACCCGATAGCCAAACTTCGCATAACCCAAAACATGCCACCAGCCGACTACATAACATGATACATACTAACCCCTTAAAAGCCCAGCGAGAGTCCAATCATACCTATCTTCCAGGTTGCACAATAGAGCATCCATCAGTGGTTGCCGAATCCTCCTTCATCAGAAAGGCAAGCTCCACAACCAAGTTAAGAATCACGCAGACGTACACCCTAACTGTTATCGATTCATCTCATTCTTTATGGATATCGAAGACTAGCAACTCACCTTCTCCCTTACGGATGTTGCTGGAGGTCCCAAGACAGTCGCCGGAAAAAAGTTAGGCCAAGAAAACGGGATTAGAACCCGTCAATCAATTTCTCTCTAATCAAAGTCACCAAAGCTAGATAAGAAATCGGAGGATGAAATGAGTCTTACATACCTTCATTGCTCTGTAGAACATACAGAATTCGCTGAAGGCCCACGCAATGCCAGTGAACGATGCAATCATCGGGAACACCTCCCCACCTAGTTCACGGTGTCGATCAGATTTGGAGCTGAAGGAATGATCCCATTCTCGCTAAAATATCCCCACCTCCTTGTCTCACATAACGCTCCAGTAAGAGTTCCGACTGGCGAAGAAACCCAACAATGGCAGCTCCGTCCTCACAGTTCTTCTTTCACAACATTCACTCACAGCTTCGATGTCTCCCACCCTCTCTCGCCGCCAGTGAACATACATATTCTTCATTCCATCTAAGGGTTTATTCTTTATATAACCCGATGATACAGATGAAGCCACAAAAAAAACAGGAGACGGCTCCCTCCCACACACTCTGTCGCTAATCAAGGGGACCAGATGCTTAATTTTTTTACAGATAGGCATAAATAGTCCCTGATGTTAGGTCGCCTACATGATTCACCCTTTCACCTTCAATTCAATTTAAACTAAGATCTATAATTTACCCAAACAGTCCTCCGCTTTGAGAATCTTTTGCAAAACAAATCCAGAAATTACCTCTTAATTCCCAAGATCTCAATTACGACATATTCAGTCCTTCCTTCTCAAATCATTACCATCCAAAACCCCATTTTACTCTTTAGTTCTTGCTGCCCATAATTTATTACCACTAAAATCCAATTATTACCATAAAGATCCCAAATTTTCCGAATTTACGTCATTTAGCTCCTTAGGACAAACACTGATAACTTATTACGGATTTAGGGTCTCTATTCGTTTATTAATTTTATCCATTTAATTATTTAACAGATGGGGTGTTACATTGTCTTTGGTGAAATCCATAACTTGTCATCAAGTTATGGAAAATGAAAGGTCTCATTTTTAAATGTCATCTTAAATGGTTTTATGTCTTCCATAACTTGTCCTCAAGTTATGGAACTTGAAGAGTCTTTTACATAAATGTTTTTATAAACTCCATGACATGTTCTCAAGTTATGGAATTTCAAAAGTCTTTTCATAAAACCTATATTAAACTCCTAAGTTATGGATACCAAAAGTTTTTGAATAGTTCAAAACTTTCCCTCAAGTTTTGGAATTTGTAAATGCAAAGTCTTACTTTGAAACATTTAGTTCCAAACCCTAGAGTTTTAAAAGTTAAAATTCAATCATTATACTATTATAATATTATAGGTTTAATATTTATATATGTATAAGAATAAAGTCAGTCTTACCGTTAGTAGGCCTCACTCACGAAGCAGGTATATAAGGGGGGGGGGTATAAGTATACTGCCTATAAAATGACACTTTAATGGGTGTCCACTCTCAAACACCACTTCCTTGACTGGTGGATGGTCGTTAACCAAACGGGTTTGACAGGACATTTAAATGTATAACGAAATACTAAGTAACTAAACACTTATAAATTCCCAATCCTAGTTACTTAGGAAAAGGTAAATTTGGTGCTAACCCATGAAATTGCACTTTGCACCTTGTTAAGGCGTTAGTGGAGTGTGTGTGGTTAATCGGCACACTAATTTGGGACTGACAGTGTATGGAAAAGGGTAAATTGATGCTAATCATAGATCAATGGAGCGTGTATGGTTAACCGACACATTGATTAGGTGGTTGTAATATTGAGTGTAGCAAGCTAATTTGCATGGTTATTCACACCTTGTTTGTGATCCTCGGCATCTAGTCACAAACTTGAAGGGCACAATCAGGATTTAAACATGCCATTGAAAAGTTCAATGAATCTCAACGGATCTAGGAATTTCAATCCATTTAAAACCTAATGATCAGTTTCGTCTTTCATGGTGGAAATTGGTAAATCGTCATTTACCTACCTTCAAATATTTTGCATTCGGATTACAACATCCCTAATCCGAATTATAAAATATTGTGTTGGTTCCTAGCCTTAATATTTCATTCCGGTGTTATATTAAGGACTTAGGTCAACTAACTTGAATTAATCCCATTGTAGATGTCTAGTTTAGACAACTATGGTCTCCCCAAATCTCTTGGAACAAGTTTTCCTCTTGAAGATGATGTTTCACAATTGGATCGTGGAAGTGGAAATCATACTTCACTTCCTCCAGCTCCTCTGATTATTCTCCCTAACCCACAAGTTCAAAGACTTGAAAAGTTCAAGGTCACTCAAGCCCTATTGGATAACAAACACAAGGATGGAAAGTCTGTGTGTGCACATGTCTCTGATATTAAGTCATACATTGACAGGCTGCGAATGTTGGGTGTCGTGTTCCTAAGGAAGTTGGCTATTGACTGGGTTCTTCAGTCACTTCCTGAGTCATATAGTGAGTTTGTTAAAGACAACTATGTGACAAATCACAACATGACCCTTATTGATCTTACTTATTTGCTGATTGCTGCTAAATCAACAAAGATTTGACGCAATGGTCAAGAAAATTTGACTAGAAGATCTACCTCTCAAGCTGACATGGGCAATGACATGGATATCCCAAAACTGATTTCTTCTCCTAAAGGAAAGGAATTGGCCATGATAAAAGTTTTGATCATAAGGGAAAGGCCAAATCTGAGATTATTCCATATGCTATTCCCAATGAGCCTGTTTGTTTCTATTGCCAAGGAAAGGGACATTGGAATCGAAACTGCCCTGACTACCTGAGAACTTTAGTCAGATTGTATGGTTCTGCTTCAGGTAAGTCCACTATCTAACTCTATTAAGTTCCTAATTGTTGATTCTTAATACATGATGTGACAAGGTTGCATTTTGATGTTTTGTAGGATCATGCAAAAGGAAGGAAGCTTAAAGGAAGAGTATACTGAATCTGGTCGCGAAGATGGATTTCAATCGTGTAACACCGTAAATTTCCAAAACAATTTTTCGCATTTATAAAAAACATAATTCATTTGTAAATCATAAAACACCATTGTTTGAAACTCAATGTATAACATATAACAATATCCCAAGATCTCGTATCATAAAAATCATGTGTGTGTACTGATCAAGCCGGTGCCTTCCTGCGATCTTCACTAGTACCTGAAACACATAACACAAAACATTGTAAGCACAAAGCTTAGCAAGTTCCCCAAAATACCACATATAACACATATTAGCCACTTGAGGCTATAACTCTGTGGGTCCGTGCACCCAAACTCTGTGAACCCTCAAGTTCTAACTCTACAAGCATGCACATCATAAATCACATAGAAGAATGCAGTACAACAAACAATATATATAAAGCATTGTATCACATAACTCTATTTACCTACTCAAGGTAAAGTATAGTGAGAAGACTCACCTCGCGTAACTTGGCAACTCGTAAATCCCTGAAATCACTAGTGCTCGATCTCTCGAGCTATAGTCCTCCTATAACACAATACATATCTAATTAACACTTTCCCAACTATGGTTGACTAACCCTATCAAGTCAACACCGGTCAACTCTGGTCAATGGTCAATGGTCAACCCCAACTCGCCGAGTCTGGCGTGGACTCGCCGAGTCCCTACGAGGACCCCATTTCCTATGAGTCCCTTCCAACTCACTGAGTCACTCACCCAACTCGGTTACTCAACCCCTGGTTCGAAATCTATGAACAACCCGCACCAACTCGTCGAGTCTGCCAATGGACTCGGCGAGTGCATTCCATGCACAACCCCAAACGTCCTTCTAAGGTCAGATCTGTTCCACTAATTCATAGATCTAGTCCTTCTAAGCTTATTTATCACGTAAAGTTCATGTATTAGTGCTCATATCACACCTAATGACTCATAAATGGTGTTTTCACCTCAAACACAAAGATCCCAAACCAAAACCTCCATTCATAAAAATCTTGGACAAAGGGACACTCTGGACCTCCAAGGGTCCAGATCCAGAACCTAACTCGCTTAAGGGACCAAATGGGCACTAGATCTAGCCACAAAAGGGCTCAATAAACCCTAAATAACATGAACATCACCTCAACAAAAAAGGGTTCGAAAATGCTACCTTAAATGTGATGTTCTGGACCTCTTCAGGAAGTTGTTCCTCTTGCTTCCTCTTGGCTAAAACTTCCTTTCCCTTGCTAGAAAACACCTCCAAGGTTGATAATGGCTCCTTCTCTCACTCCAAACGCTCAAGTGCACTAGGGTTTCGCTCTGGGGGCTGGTGAGCACAAATGACGGCCATAAGGCCCTTTAAATAGGACCCAAACCCGAGAAATTAGGTTTTCATTAAACAACACTGACTCGTTGAGTCCACCAATGCGACTCGTCGAGTCCGGTCATTAATCCGGATGAGAAATCGCGTCTCTACTCGGCGAGTCTATGCACCGACTCGCCAAGTTTTTCCTCAAAACTCAAAATAAAAAGAATAAATATAATACCTAAAATTTTGGAAGTTACAAATCGCATGGTTCAATGATCGGATTTTTGAGCTGCTGCTTAAGAGTTGTGATAGATTGCTTTGTAATAAATAAAAAATTTTGCATTTGTAATTGCATTGTAAGTAAAAGTTTTTTGCATTTTATAAATAAATAAAATTTTATTTTATTTTATTTTATTATATCTCCTTGCAATGACATTTGTGAAAATTGATGTTTGTATGTTTCTATTTTAGCAATATGAATTTGATTCTTTCATTTGTGGTGGTGTCAAAATTTACCAAATAAGGAAAGATTCTCATCACCCAAGTTTCAGTTGGATAGAAACTTAGAATCATGTAACTTGTAGTGTGTGATGAATGAGAACCCTTATCTTTGGTAAATTAAGACTAATTCCTAATTCATATATATATGTGAGTCAAGTGAAGGACTAAGGGATCGGGTACACTGGGTGTGTGCTAGTCAGGTCCACCTCCAAGAACGATAAGACTATTTTTCATGATTTACTAAAGTTTGGTAAATATGGTTATGCTTACAAGTTCAAGTATAATTTTGAACATTAGAAAAGTTTCAATGTAAGACAAAACGAATAAGAAGAATCAAATTAGCCAGAAAGATAAAAGTTTCTCCAATCTGAAAAGATGGGAGAGTACTTTAGTATCATGGTTCAATTGATCCTCTAAGGTCATCTTAGTGCATTTTCTATGACTAAGAAGAGGAATCGTGAATTTTTGGAATGGTTAAATCAAAAAGTTGAATCATACTTCGTTCCAAATCAAGTATTAGTGTCATACTCCAAGATTGAGTCTTGAGTGACATAATCTTAAGAAAAGTTTATAAAACTTATCAAATGTAGAGTAAAATGTTTTCTACTCTTGTACATTTGAAAGTGGTAAGTTGTGATGTTTTGGAAAAAACAAAGATCAACTAAGGCCAATTAT